TTCTCTAAGAGCCTTATCTACTGTAGGTTGTTTCAGTGATTCTTCCACATTTATATAGAAACCTTCACAAATTGCCAATATTATCTGAAGTTTTCTCTACTTCTCAACTACTTCTTGGTTTCTACATGTAGTTTTTGAAAGGCCAAATAATTGATGTCCCACACTATAAAAATTATCTGTGACTTTAGGGATGTTCATTAAAAATACTGAACTTTATTTTATAGGTCCTCTACAAAATATCCCCTAGATATTTTACTAGATGCCTTTGCATACATAAATTTGTTTTTCTTTTTGGTAAATTGTGCAAAGAGTTTCTTTTCAAAATGTGGGCTTTTAAAAATGCAATTATTTTAAATGTAGTAATTTTTAAAAATAAGCCTGATATCATTTAGATCTAAATTGTCTCCCAAATGCCTCATAGCTTCAGAGGTACAACTTTTGGAAAGTGACTATAACTTGAGACACTAAACAATGAATTAAAAGTTGAATGTGCTGTTCAGATGAGAATCTTTGTTCTGAAAGTTGGAAGCCTTAGAGCATGACCTGGAAGATGACATGTCACGTTCTATATGGCCCTTCCCCTCTGTTTCTTGGCTACCATGGGTTGAACAGATTTCCTGTGCTATAAACATCCATCACACTGTTTCTGAATTAAAGTCATCCATGGACTGAATTCTCAAAAATTGTGAGCAAGCAAAAAATTCTCTTTCTTTAAACTATTAGTGTGAAACATTGTATACCAAAAGAGGAAAGAGACTAAAGTAACAACAGCAACAAATTTGCTACCAGCACTGGAGTAATAACTGTGAACCCACTGACTGTATGGATCAGAAACATGTGTAATGATAAGAGGGAGGAGTTTGGAAACACTTGGAAGTGCAGACTAGAGAAACTCTCAATGCTATAAGAATAGTTTAGGGATACTTATGTTCACACCTCAGAAGGCCAGAATGTTCATAAAACTGGGCAGAAAAGGCCAGCTTCATGGAATTTCAGTCAGGAATAAGGGACACATTGATAATTTCAATAGAGGCCATGTGTATTGGGCCTTGGTTTTTTTAAAAGAAGTGTCCTATACGGTGCTCAGGCTCCAAAACAGTAGGAGATTGCAGTTAAGAATGGCAGAGTAACAGATCAGGATGAGGAAAATTCAAGTCTGCCTAAATGTTGACACAGCCATTTGGGTAGAGTAAGCAACTTCAGGTCAGGTCAGAAGCAAAAAGTCTAACTAAAAGATATGAACTTTGTTATGTTTGGGCAGAAAGGAAACATCTTTAAAGTTCAGACTAAATTGTATAGTTCCTGAAAGTTTAGTATTGTCTTGAAAGCCAAGTACTTTGTAGCAGTCCAACAGGAAAAAATACTCAACATCCTCTCAGGAGCTTCATTAGAAGCCATTCACCACAAGCTAAATAGTGCACGACTAAATTCCTGTAAAATATCTTGATCGCATAAAAGATCATGAGGCTGCTTTATATATTTGGGGAATCCTAAGGAAGTTTCTTTTGTTTTGGATATTTGAGCTATTCTAGGCCTCTTAAGAACATAAGTCAACAAGCTAACAGCAAATTTCACCAGCACTGCTCCTTCCCAGTGAGAGACCAGCTTTTTGTTTCATTTTGTCTTTTCTTTTTCCTGTGAGTCCTAGTGGTTAACTGGAACCCCTAGTGACAATAAGGTTAAGGACCTCAGCAGAGACAGTGCAAAAAGCTCACTGCCCTGCAACCAGTGACTTGAACAGCGATACTGATTCATGGGATTTAAAGAGCCATAGGAGAGTAAGAGGAGATTAAAGCAGGATGGAGCAACCCTGGGTGTCTCCATGGCAGGGCAGAAGCAGTAGGTCAGTAAGGTTAGGGACCACAGCTACAGCAACAAAACTAGAACACCAGCAATGAAGTTAAGGAGCAAAGTAGAACGATCCATCCCAACCTGCAACAAGTGGCTTGAGAGAATACAAGCACAGGGAAATGAAAGATCAATTCAACAGCTACAACATGATTCAAAAAAGAAAATCATGGTTCACAGGAGTCAACAAAAAAGAAAGTCAGCAAAAAAGGTATGAATAAACTTACACAGTAGCAATGGTAGAAAACATTTAGAACTTGGAATAAGAATTTGACATATCAATAAACTTGAACCTCAGAATATAATATTCAAGATTCCAGAATTTTGGCACAAGAACAAAATATTAAAAGCTGTTGTAGTAAAGAAAAACATCACATATAAAGGAAAACCCATCAGAATCACACCCAATATCTCAACACAAACCCTTAAGTCAAGGAGAGTTGGAGTGACGATTTTCAAATCCTGGAAGAAAATACCTGCCAAGCCAGATTGATGTCACCTGAAAAACTATCCTTCACAATTAATGGAGAAATGAGACAATTCCATGACAAAAAACAAGTGAAGAAATTAACAACCATTAAACTAGCTCTTCAAATTGTAATGAATGATTTTCTAGAAAAAATCACAGGGGACACTATTAAAAGAACACTTAGAGAAGGAAACTATAAGGCAGGTCAACAATTAACAGAAAGGAAAGACAGGGAATTAAGAGCAGGATAATAATATGACAAGAATAAATAAATACATATCAGTTAAAGCTCTCATTGTAAATGGTCTCAATTCACAAATCAGAAGAAACAAACTGGCATTAAGTCCTGTAGTTTCATGTGTAGCATCTGATGCCAGCAAAAACTGTTGATAAGTCATATGAAATGACAAATGCAAACTACCCTGATGTGACCGTTTTATGTTTATATGTGAACAGAAATTTCACATTAAACACAATGCATATTTAAATTACTACTTACCAATTGAAAAAAAATTTAAAATATTTTAATGCTTGATAGAAATATTTGGAGAGTATTTATAGAACATGAGATCCAATTATCTCCCATAATTTCTAGCATTACTATTGAATAAGACCCAACCTCCAAACCATGTGTAGGACCAGAGACTTATCATCCTAATGTGACCCAGAACATATAGGTTAAGAACAATGACAACTATATGAGCCCTCTCAGATTGTACAGGAGACTATGGACTTCTGTGTTATGGGGCAGCACTGAGGCTGCTCTCCCATTTCCTTCTTCAGTCTCCTCTGCATCCCTGTGTGACACTTGTACAGGACAGTTCCCTCAAAAGTAAAAGAAAAGCTTCACTGAATAGCCAGCACATTTTTCGCATTACTCTCAACCAAATATATGACTGGTCTTTCCCTTTTAATTACAATGTCGATCTGTTAAGCAGAGAGGACCCTTTGATTCTCTGATGCCCATTCTAATGTGCTCCTTTCTTTTCTTTTGCGGGGGGTGAGGGGGACTGAGGATTGAACTCATGACCTCACACTTGCCATGCAGGCACTTACCGCACTGAGCTAAATCACTAGCCCTCTAATGTGCCCTTTCATGGCATCTTTCCATCCTAAGTTGCAGTTTATCTTCTACTCATCATGTTTTTGATCACTTCACATGCTTCATATATACACTGTAATTACTTAATGATATTAAGTTCAGAAATAGATTTTGCATGTGCATGTGATATTCTAATTCTTTGTGATGCACGAGAATGTTTTTTAAGGAAATTACTTAATAAACTCCAGGGCCTAGTTCAAAATTGCCTATTTTTAAATATTAATCTGTATATCTTTATGAAAAACAAGATTTTCTTTATTTTTTGTCACAAAGAAACAAAACATGCAATATCAAATACTGAGAGGTTTACAATCCATTGATTTGGTGTTTTTTCTACTAATTAAAAATATTTTTCTAATTAGAATTATGTTAATAAACTTTTGTAATTGATAAAACTCAACTATTCACAGAAAAATACAAAGAGGAAATCAGTAACTGTAGTAAAATGAGCAAACGTGGACAAATTTTGTGTTCTGCTAAAATAAAACTGATTGGGGCTGGGGATTTAGCTCAGTGGCAAAAGCACCTGCCTTGCAAGCAGACGGTTGTGAGTTCGATCTCCGGTACCGATAAAAAAAAGCAGAAAATAAAACTGATTGATCAATTCCTTCAAAACACTATTGTTACCAAATTTACCTTCAACCATGGTATATTTCCCTCTCAGTAAATTTTTCCTGATCCTATATCAACTATACTTATCTTCAGACATTTGTGGGAAAGCAAGAGGGTTATCCCTACTGACTGGCTCAGACCCAGAATCACTTGCACCTTGTTATCATTTCAAGACACACACACACACACACACACACACACACACACACACATATGCACGCACGCACACACATATGCACGCACGCGCGCACACACACACACACACACACACACATACACACCACAAGACAGACAGAGAGAGAAACAGAGTCAGAGAGAGAGAATTGACAGCTTCTATTTCATACTCACTTTCAAAGCAGTCTGGGGGAGCCACAGACTCATCATCTCTACTAAGCACTAAGGTGATTTCCAATACAAAGTACACACAAACCCTATGTACCTCTCCCACCACACACTCATACCAAATTACTCACGGGGCTCAGTTCATTGGGTTCAGGTAATTAAGGGCTGGAACCTCAGAATAACAGGACTCACAGGCAGAGTTTCCACACTCACAGATTAAAAAGTTGTTAAACCTAAGAGAGGAGTCGTGGAAACTTGTAAACAGTATCTGAAGAGCAGTTTCCAGTTAATGACAGGAAACATCTGTACTGCACTCACGTTATATTAAGAGTTTCTTGTGTTATGCTTTCCAGGTTTGCCCACAAAATATCGGGTTCACCTGGCCCTCAGGCCTCAATCTCCCAAGTAGTTGCTACTGTAGGCAGTGCCTTACTGGGCTCCTCCAGTAGTGAGACATCCAGAAGACCTCCCAGAGCACCAAGGTTCTACTCCTAGCTGCCTCCCTGTAGCCTTTGGGGCCTGGGTTCCCTCTGACTTCCTGCTCCTCCGCGGAGACACAGGACACAGTCTGCAACTTCTTTCTTTGCAGGGACTGCCCCTCCTCCCTCTCCTGGGTAGGGTACTCACCGCAGGCAAATCTGAGTTGGCCGGCTGGTGGGCAGTGTACTCTCTGCCAGTCTGTAGGAAAGCTGGGTTGGATGGAGGAAACAGCCCTGGGAGCCTAGGGTGCACCAGGGCGCGGTTAGCTTTTGGAAGGCAATGTGGTGCAGATGTTGATTCCTGCCACTTCTTTGGGTGGGGACACCTGACAGGGCCAGATATGAGTCCAGTAGGCAGAGGGCTGAGCCGCCCATTGGGCAAGGATCAACACTCTCTCTTGGGCGCCTAAAGACCTACTGTGCACCTAGGGACAAGTCCATTACTCCTGCCTGCATGACTTTTCCAAATACATAGACATCACTGTTTCCGACGCGGTCCCTGGCTGATGAAGACCTGCTCTGCTCACATAGCTTGTCCATCCCAAAGGTGAAAGGATGATAGTTCTTTCCTGGACATTGACTGAGGGGTTGTGCCAAGTTCTATAAAATAAGGAACTGAAATTTTCCATGAAAATCTTCCGTATTATTACTAACAAGCCACCACTGTGTACTTCCCTGCGCTATTCTAAGGATCCATAATCTCTAGAAAGTGACTATGGGATTAGGAAAACAGCAGGGTATCAACTCCACCATCTACCTTCAGAAATGAGTCCTTGCATGGAGATATCTTCTGCTTTGCCATATCAGAAAAATAAAATCATGCAAACATCCAGTTGCTTTATTTAAATGGACATTAGAAATTCTTATTAGTTTTTCGCCCAATACAGGAGAGTCCTAAGAAAAGACTAGAGAAAGAAATTGATGGTGCATAATGTTTTATAATATTGAAAACACCATACTGTATATTTTTCAATAACTAGCATTTGCAGATAATTATTCTTTTAGCTTCAGTTTATCCATTACTAAAGAACCACGAAGAAATAGATCTGTTTGTCCTGATTTATTGTAAGCCACAGATATGGCAACTCTTTCAGATCGTGTTCTCAATAGCTCCTGAATAACAAGCTGGGAGGCAAATTTCAAGAGGAAAACTGTTTCACTCTCTCCCTCTCTGAGTCCTCATATATCAGGGGAAGACATGTGAAGCAGAGAGAAAGAACATGAACAAACAAAGCAAAACAACTAATTTGAATATACAATCCTGGAATTACATATATAAAATGAGAAGGCAGGGGAATTTCCTCAGCGGTAAACATCTTCGGACAAAGTTCATGTTCCAGCACCAAAGGGGGTGAAATATTATATATATATATATATAATATACAAAGCATATACCAAAAATCTATACATAAAAAACAACTGGATGACAACACTGTACGAGAAAATTTTACTTTCCTCTTGAAAGTAATGTGAGTGCTATCCCTTTTTTTCTCAGCGCATAATATGCTACATTTGATTTAATGAACATAGAAAAGTTTTATGGGCAAAATTGGATTTGGCTTAAATGTAAAGAATAGATATAGTTCTGACACTACCCTCACTTTGGTCACTTCTGCTGCTCACACATTCAATAGAATTTTCAAATTGAGAATAATAAGGAAATAAAATGAATAAGTAGCAAGGGCTTGTCCAGGGATAGATACAACAGTAAGCCACAAGTCTAGAAACTCTGGAATGGCAAGAATCTTGGGAATTATGGAGCCCATCAGTGGTCAGCTCTTCAAGGAGGCAACTCTGCAGATACTACAGTAGGATGAGGCAAGATCCAGACATGTGTCTTAGCACAGTTACTCAGCAAATTCTGATACATAGACTTTAAACGACTGAGTTCCAGAGGGGGAAAAAGATAACATCAAAGCCCCAGAAGTGATAAAAGAGCCTAACATCTCCTCACACAATCCTGAGATATTACAATTCTCTAGAGAGGACTACCAGTACATTCTACCAACTTTATCAATGGTATCAAACATATTTTCCACCATCAAGTTTTGTTTTAATGTTGAAGTACCACTGGTTTTCCTTTCAAAGCTGTGTTAAATTTAATTCATCTAACATAATATCAGTTCTTTTGTTAGTTACAAAAAAAACTTCAGATGAGAGATTCATAGATTATAAAAATAATATATGTCTTCTATTCATTTGAAAGTCACAGACTATAACTACCAAAGTTATTAACAGGTTGTCAAGATGCTGTAGAATTAACTTTTCAGTGCAATACATTAGATTACTTCCTAAAGATTATTGCCTAAAAATGTCACTTAGTAAACAGTGTACAGTATCTTTAATTATTGATTTGGGGTCTTCTATGTATAACTCAGTTTGCTCTAATTTTGGCAAGTGGTCCCAGAAAAAATAATTGTGGCTAAACAGCAATGCAGTGGCAACTGTTGGGAGACAAAAGGAAAACATAAGGCACTGAAAATAAATCACAATGTTCCTGTTTAATATGAATGTAATTTACAGTAAATTATGGAGGATTTAAAAATGTTTTTAAAGATTAACAATTTTAAAAAAGCAATTATGAAGAAGACAATCATTACACCAGCCAAAGCCGCAGATTCTTCCATAAGCCCCAAGGGGCGATAACAATACCCAGACTTGTTAGGAATTCTTCACCAGTACATCTGAAATTCATGACAAAAGGAATATAGTTTCACTATTAGCATATGTGAAATTTACTCAACATCTCCATTATTGCTTTAGTAAAGAATCCAATAGATTAACAAAACATTAATAATAGTCAATTTATTCTAGTAACAGTCATTGAGAACTTACCATTTTCTAGATAATATCTAGGCAATTAATTCCTGTAATAGTCAAGAGAGGAGATATAACACACATTTAAAGAAAAATGGGATTAGTTTAAGAAACATGGCCCAATTACAGAGTAAGGATCCTTTTTAGTGTTCTGTGATTTATTTATTTATTTCCAAATCTATAATGCTGTTCTCTGCAAAGGATATATTTATTAAACATTTTTGCTTTTCTTTTGAAGATCAATGTCACCCACAGCCCTTACTAAGAAACTCAAAGCTCCTTCTTCTTATTCTGCTGAAGCATACGAAAGTGATCCAGAACCCAGGCTATGAATCCTAAAACTAGGACAGCGGGGAGTATGGGCTTTGTTCAGATCATATTTTCACAGTTGTTGAGCCAAGACTGTTGAGCATCAAGTTTCCTTGGCTGCAAGACACTGCCTACAAGTGAAGTATCAGATTCAAATCTTAGTGAACTGGAGCAAAGGAGGCTAGACTTGTCCTGCTACAGCTATAAGAAAAAATCCTGTACTGAAAATGCCCATGGTAGTCAAAATTATTGCTTGCTCCAATTATTGTGTATCTCTTAGCACTTGGCAGTACTAAAAACACCTTCCATCTCTTTTTAATTAAAGCCTTTCTTGGTTACTTTTCTCTCATTGATGAACCAAAATATCTAACATCCAAAATTAGGGAAGGAAAGGTTTTATTTAGCTCAGTTTGTGAAGCTTTCAGTTCATTATCAGGTGTGTCCAAGGCAGGGTGGAATGACACAGGGGCAATAGTTCAAAGGGACAGAAGACAGCAAAGGCAGCAAGAACACAAATAGGGGGAGAACAGGCCTATTCACTGAGCACGGGGATTCTTCAGAAGACTAGGATTGGAAGTTCCATTCAAACCAGCTCTTCCCCTCCTGGGTACTTTCCCAGAAAAACTGAAAAGGTCATGTCACAGTGACATACGTGCACCTATTTTTTTTTTTTGTCTTTTTCCTTTTTATCGGTACCAGGGATCAAACCCACGACTGCCTGCTTGCAAAGCAGGCGCTTATGCCACTGAGCTAAATCCTCAGCCCCTAACATGCACCTACAGTTACAATTTGTAATAGCTAAATCTTGGAAACAACCAAAATGCCCATCAACTTCAGAGTGGATGAAAAAGATGTGGTATGTTTATACTATGGAATACTACTCAGCTATATAAAGGATGATCTTGAAGCCATTATAGGTACAAGGAGGCAACTGGAGACTTTCTCATAATTGAAATAAATAAGAATCACAGTTTTAAATATCACATTGTCTGTCTGGTGTAAAAATTCATAAAAACTATTGGAGTAAGAAGATCCAAAATGTATAGTACATGCTGTAGAGAAGAAAGGGAAGCAAAGTGCTCTGAAGGATATAAGTGCACATAGGTTTAAGTGTACAGGTTTGATAACCTTATTGCTAAGTTTTTGTTGCATCATTGAACAAAACGGTTTGCATTCTCACTGTTTGATTGTCCACTTTCTATGCTTTAATTTTGTGTCTTAAACAACTATTTCTAAAATGACAATATGTAGTTTTCAACTAGTGATTTCTTAGCATTAATGTTTTTGAAATTCTGTATTATTTCTACCCTTTTTTGTTTTGCTTTTTTTCTTTAAATAAAAAACAAGAAACAAACAAAAATAAGTAATTTCATCCCACTCAGCAAGGAAAGCACCTTATAAAACACAGTGTATCTGGGACATATTAAAATGAGGAACGCAACTTGAGGAGCCTGGTTAATGTGCTAGCCAGTAGTTGCATGTCGCCACTGAGCACATCACTTAGTTGAACTTCTAAATTTCTTGAGTTAACACAATGTATCAACTATTACAAAGCTATTGGCAGATTCCCCCTTCAGGAGTCCTATGTTTCCTGTCCACTTCCTTCTGACCAGCAGGCTGGCTCTGAATTTTTCTTATCAGTTTGCCACACCTGGATCAAAGCAAAGGAAGTAGGTTGGTAAATGAAATCATTATTCATTTTCACAGGGTTTTACAGCCAATAATTCAGAACAAAAATTTGTTTCAATTCTAAAACAAATTTGAACACTATGAATCATAAAATGACTTCTTTTGAGTACATTTAAGTTTGAAATGGCTCTTTTAATAGCTGAGCACAACATATACAGCTACCTGTGAGCCCAACCCATGAACCAAAATAGGATCTAAAGGGAAAGCAATAGTGTAAAGGAAGAGGATATGGCCCTGTCACAATTCTGAAAGTTCTCCCTCCCTCAGGCATGGAAAGGTGCCATGAAACAAAAAGAAATATTCTCTCTTCTCACATAAACTGTCATGGTTTATGTCTGTGGCCCCCAGGCCTCATGTGTTTGCATTGTGCATTTGTGATTGGTTCATTGTCTAGTGCTTGGATTGATGGTGTCAGTCTACACCCACATAGGGGTGGAGCCAGGATGTGATGTAATGGCAGCAAGGTGTGTCAGGTTCTCT